GCCTAATAAAATGAGTAACAATGAATAAAAGGGAAAGCTGGGGGACTTATAATTCTAGCTGAGATGGAGTAAGGACACTGCAGGCTAACTCTCCCATGATTACAACAAATCGTCTAGATCAAAGTACAAAAAGCAGATACCTAAGGCCCCTGAAAAGTGAATACAGTAATAGCAGGTGAATTTGGGGAGAGAAAACAGTAATTAATGAATAACCAATATGGTAACAGTGAGTTTCATGGTTATTTTTCCTCTTCATACTCTGGGTTTGACCCAAGGGCAGGCTAAACAGGGGAACTGTCTATTGACAGGGTCAACAAAGACAGACAGAAGCCCATCTCTGTGGCCTGAGCACCAGCTCAAAGAAAGGCCCCTATAAGCTGAAGAGCATGGGGGAGAATCCTTGTTTGTTTTAGTTTTTCTGTTTACTTTCGGGTCCTGCCCTGAGGCCAGCCCCAATTGTGAAACAACTTTACTGTGGTCTGAGCAGTGTTGCAGACACCTAAAAACTGTGAGATAAAATCTGTCCCTGAGGAAAGGGAACCTTTGTGTGAAGAGTGGGGGGAAATTTTTTGGTCTTCTACTTCTGTGTCTTGAGGACCTACTTGCACAGAATTACGCAGATGCACAGGGAGCTAAAACTGAGAGAATCCCATATTCCTGACTAGAAGAACTGGGAAAAGGAGTCCTTGAGAGACAGAGTGTGGGAGCAGTGACGTGCACGAAAGATCAGGCAGAACTTGTTGCCTGAAGCTAACTGGGTGGATTGCTTGCTGAAACAAAAGGCAACATTCCTCAGAGACTTGTAACAGGACCCAGTCTCCTGACAATATTAAAAATGTCCAGCTATAATCCAGTATTAGTCAACCAGGAAAGACTGACCAATTCTCAAGAGAAAAGGTAATCAGTAGATGCCAACCCCCAAATTACCTAGATTTGGGGGTAAAAACTTGAAAGCAGCTAGTGCAGCCATGCTCCATAAAGGTGAACACTCTTGAGATGAATAGAAAGTAATTCTTAGCAAAGTTATATGTAAAAAGAACTAAATGAAAATTTTAGAAATGACAAAGTAGAATATGTGAAATAAAATTCATTGACTGGCCTCAATAACAGAATGGCTTTGTCAGAGGAAAGGGTCCATGAGCTTGAAGATAATTCAGTGAAATAGTCCCAACTGAGAACAGAGAGGAAAAAGTAAAATAAGCTTCCTATTTGCTTTTTGTTTTTTAAACATTTTATTGATTTCAGAGAGAAAGGAAGAGGGAGAGAGAGATAGAAACATCAGTGATGAGAGAGAATCATTGATTGGCTGCCTCCTGCACGCCCCTCACTGGGGATGGAGCCTGCAACCCAGGTACATGCCCTTTACCAGGATTGAACCTGGGATCCTTCAGTCCGCAGGCCAACGCTCTATCCACTGAGTCAAACCAGCTAGGACAGCCTCCTGTTTTTAAAAGCTCTTTTGCTGGGCATAGCATTCTGGATTGACAGGTTTGTTTGTTTTCTTTCACTCCTGTAAAGTTGTATTGATTGTTCTAGGGATCATTCTAGTATCATTTCTCTTCAGCCTGAAACACTTAATTTAATATTTCCTTAGAAATATTTCATTTAATAATTGTGACAGATACTCTTCGTTTACCTTCATCTGAGGAAGTCTTTATTTCACTTTCACTCCTAAAAAATATTTTTAGTAGCTATGGAATTCTGGGTTGTCAGTTTCTTTTGTTTTAGCATTAAAAAGATGGTGGTGTCCCATTGATTGTCTTCTGACATCTGTGTTTCCTGATGAAAAATCTACAGTATTTTCAGATAAGTTCCCCTATCTGTAATGTGTCATTTTTTCCTACTGCTTTCAAGAGTTTTATTTTTGGTTTTCAGAAGTTTTGCTAGGTACTTGGGTGTGGAATTCTTTGAGTTTGTTTTGTATATGATCACTAGTGCTGAACCAGAAAGTTATGTCTTTCTCCAAATTTAGAAGTTTCAAACATTATTTCTTCAAAAAATTTATTTTTGGCACCAATCTCTTTTCTCCTCTTCAGGTATTCCAATGACATTGATGTATTCCCATAGGACATAAAATTAACATACAAAAATCAGTAGCCTTCATGTAAACAAACAACACACAGCACCCCACTACAACAACACATAAGATTAAACACTTAGGAATAATTTTGACAATAAATGCACAAAACTTATATGAAGTAAAAAAAATTTAAGCCCTGAAAGACTCAAAGTATACTTGAACAAATGTAAAGATACCTGCTGTTTTTGAATAGGTCAACATTATAAAAATTTCAATCCTCCCTAAATTAATTTATAAATTCAGTGTAATCCCAGTTAAAAAAAAAAGACTCTATTATGGAGTTAGAAAATTTGATACTAAAGTTCATGTGGAAAAGCAAGCAGGTTGGAGATAACTGGAAAAGGAAAACCATGAGGGAGGATTAATCCTCCCAGCCTGTAAATATTAGGGCCTGTAAAGTTAAAACAGTGTGGTGGTACTGACACATGAATAGACAAATACACCAATGGAACAAAACGTGTGATGACTTTGTCATGTTTCACCTCTGCCATGCTGATCTGCATTTTCCAGAATTCTCTGATACAAATGGAAAGTACAGAATTAAACCCAAATATACATGGAAATTTAGTATATGACAAAGGTGGCCTCTCTCTCTGTACTCACTGGGGTAAACTTGTATTTTTCAATACATGATGCTGGGACAACTGAATAGCCGCTTGGAAAAGTTAAAATCAGATCCGTATTTTACATCATACACATGAATAAGCTCTAAATGGATAAGGAATATAAATTAAAAAGTAAAACCATGCAAGTACTAGAAGAAAACATGAGTGTATTCCTCTTTAATGATGGTGTAGGGCAGTGGTCGGCAAACTGCGGCTCTCGAGCCACATGCGGCTCTTTGGCCCCCTTGAGTGTGGCTCTTCCACAAAATACCGACTTCTGCGCATGGGCCACGAAGTTTCAGTCGCACTGTATGTGTGCGCCCGCACGTGGTATTTTGTGGAAGAGCCACACTCAAGGGGCCAAAGAGCCGCATGTGGCTCGTGAGCCGCAGTTTGCCAACCACTGGTGTAGGGAAAGGCTTTGTTAATTTTGACTAAAATTCCAGGGACAATGAAAGAAAAGATTGATAAATTTGATTATATAATTTTTTAAAAATTACATGGGAAAACCACTGTAAAATACAGGACGAATAAGGGGCTTGCATTGGTCCAAGTTGTGGTACCCAGTTATTCTTAATGTATTGCCATGGTGTTCTATTTGACATTGCCATGTATTTCATGGCAAAAGCAGCATGACAGTGGCTCAAGACTAGGAGATCCAATAGTTTTACCATGTTCTGCTTCTAGGAGCAGACACCCCAGTGCAGTGATGGGATAGCCTACTGAATACTCACTGAGGTAGTAGGCTGCAGATAGGACCCTGTTAGGTTGGGGAATTCTCTTCCAGATGCAGGCCAGGCTATGGTACTGTCACCAATAGATACATTTGGTTACTTAAAAATATATAGATATCTAAAATTAAAAAATAATCTGCCAATCGGAAAGATTCTCAAGTTATGTTATTAAGTAAAAAAGGAAGGTACCAGAAGAGTGGGGACCCCATTAGCATGAATTTTTAATAAGTCTCTGTGGTTTTCCATATATTTTTAAAACTGTGGTACTATAGGCTAGGGTGCATGAGGGGAGTCTTAGACTTGATATTTTTTACCTTTATGAATATTTTGAAAGTGTACCTGTTACATAAATGAAATACTTTTATAATTGAAAAAAGAATGAAATTGAAGGACTAACAGTTATTCACAACTTTCTCTTCTTGGTGTCCTAATGGAGTACGTTGGAGGTGTGGCCATGAGGGGAGCTGAGCAAGGGAGATGGGTAGTCATGTTAGGGGTTGTGTCAGTACACGAGGATGAGTGAAGGAAGGGTAATAGGGTGAGTAACATAAAGGCCAAACACCTCTTTAAAGTATAAACATAGAATTTAGTAGCTTAGTCCACACTACTCTGGCCTGTTTTTAAAATGAGGCAGAAAAGTCTGAAGTCATTGACAATTGTTATTTTAGAAAGCCATGGCTGGAGAGAGTGACCTCATCATTTCAGTCAGTTTCTTTAATTATTTTTTTAAGTTTTTCATTTATTTGAGAGAGAGAAATAAAAGAAATATTGATTTGTTGTTCCACTTTTTGTACATTCATTGGTCAATTCTTGTATGTGCCCTGACCAGGTATTAAACCTGCATCCTTCATGTATCAGGACGATGCTCTAACCAACTGAGCTACCCACTGTGTCAGTGTCCCCTCTGCCATGTCAGGGCCAGTGTCTTTTAAAGAGTTACGTCTGATAATGGTGGGTTTTTAGGATTTGAGGAGATGTCAGCCCAGGGCTCTGAATACTATCTCATCTTTATTTTTTATTTAAAAAAATATTGATTTCAGAGAGGAAGGGTGAGAGAGAGAGAGAGAGAGAGAGAGAGAGAGAGAGAGAGAGAGAGAGAAACATCAATACCAATGATGAGAGAGAATCATTGGTTGGCTGCCTACTGCATGCCCCACACTGGGGATCGAGCCTGCAATCTGGGCATATGCCTTGACCAGGAATCAAACCGTGACCTCCTGGTTCATAGGTCAGTGCTGAACCACTGAGCCACGCCGGCTGAGCATCTTTATTTTTTTTTTTATGCCAGTTGTCAGTATCTAAAATATGGTTTATGTGGTTATTATCTCTCTGTTACCGCTAGAATATAAGCTCCATGAAGGCAAAGACTTTGTTTAGCTCGCTGCTGTATTAAGATTTAGAACAGTCTTCTACCCAATAATTTTAATGTTTATCCAAAGAAGACACTCAATAAATATTTGTTGAATCAATAGCTCTGTTGAGATAGTTATGGGGTTAAGTGGAATTAGCTAAGGCTGGACTCCACAAGAGGGAAGACTTGACTCTAATTGATCTCACAGTAACTAATTTGATTTTTCTTAGTCTCACCAAGGACATGACAGGAAAGGAAGATGTGTACCGAGGCCCGGCCATCAGGGCTCTCTGCAGAATCACTGACGTAAGTTCTCCTTGTTTTGCTGGGGTGTTGAGCGGGAGGGCGGAGAGGGGGGGCTATGTGTGGTGGTGGTGTCACTGTTTATCTGCAGGAGGCCATGTAATTGAGTAGGATTCCCTAGTCTGACTCTGAATCTTCAGTACAGGCACACCACCTCGTTTTACTGTGCTTCACAGATACTGCATTTTTTTTTAGACATAATGCTATTCTTACACACTTAATGACTACAGTATAGTGTAAACATAACTTTTATATACTCTGGGAAACCAAAAGAATTCATGTGACTTGCTTTATTGTGATACTTGCATTATTGCATGGCCTGGAACCTGCAGTATCTCTGAGATATGTCTGTGTAAGAGAAACAGGACCACCAGAAAGGCTTTTGTGGTTCCAGCTTCTTTTCTTTCAAATGGTTTTTTCCTTTTGTTTATTTAGATTAGTCTATTTCTTTCTCTGTTTGCCCTCATAGACTTTTGGTATAGCCAGGGCACATTGCTTACAGGAAACAAAAAAAAAACATTTGAATTTAGCTTTAAAAAGAAGTGTTCTTACAAAATATAGAGCGCTCAGAATTTGAGGTAAAACTTAGAACCAGAAGCCAGAGCAAGAAAGGAACCCAGCGGCAAGATTTCTTAGATACTCACTGTTATGATCCATCATTTGCCAGACTCAAGCCTCGTCATTCAAATAGTTCAGGAAGACAACCTGGTTAGTCATCAGCCAGCCCAGTAGCTTGTATACACCTGTATCTGACTCAGTCTGTTACATCTGGAGAGATGAGGGTACATAGTGTGCTAGGAGGTCCATTTCTTGGAACTGTGAGTAGGAAAGGTTAAAATGGAGGGCAGGCTGGGCATTGATAAACAAATTAAATAATATTTCAGGTATACTAATGCATGGGTATATGTTTGTAATCCTCTCAAGTTTTAAAACTTGAGCGTATATGTTTGTAATCCTCTCAAGTTTTAAAACGAGCAGGATCAAATGGTAAATCTGGATTCTAGAAGGAATAATATTTTATTGTGGTTATTTTTGTTTTTAGCATTAAGTTGGTGACATAAGACTTGATGATACCAGTGCTAACAAAAGGACTCTCTTCTAAAAAACTTTCAGTCTGTTTACGTATCTTCAGGGGCCAGCACCTTTCCAGTGCTAAGCTTTCTTCCAGTTAAATTAAAAAGAACTTTGTTTTCAGAGGATTTTGTATGGAGAGCTCACTATAGTAGTATATCAAACATTTAATTATGTATATAAAATAATCAGATTACACTTGACTTGTAAGACTCTCTGGGATCCATATAAAATAGATCCCCTTCACATAGAGCAGTGGTTCTCAACCTTCTGGCCCTTTAAATACAGTTCCTCATGTTGTGACCCAACCATAAAATTATTTTCGTTGCTACTTCATAACTGTAATGTTGCTACTGTTATGGATCGTAATGTAAATATCCGATGTGCAGGATGGTCTTAGGCGACCCCTGTGAAAGGGTCGTTCGACCCCCAAAGGGGTCTCGACCCACAGGTTGAGAACCGCTGACATAGAGGAATTTTCAGGACTTCAAAAGCACCTTTCCTCCTCATCTAGGAGTTTCCTTTACAACACCCTTGGTAGGTTGACCCCTGCTTATGTGTTTCCTCAAATTGGAGCTCTCCACTTTGAGACAGTTTATTTCATTGTTGAATAGTTATTTGTCTTTCTTACATATAGATGTCCCTCCTTGAAGCTCCCACTGGGTTGTCTGGGTTCTGCTGGATGGGCTATGATTATTATATGCTAATCCTTTTAATGCAGTCTAAGTATTTACACAGAAACTAATATATGACTGGTTTTCGTAAATTATTTTGAAGTGGTAATATAGTGTGAAAATGTTTTGCTTCAACAACTTTTCTCTCTGAATTTTATTAGGGAACATTGCTGCAGGCCATTGAAAGATACATGAAGCAGGCCATTGTGGATAGAGTCCCCAGTGTATCCAGCTCAGCATTGGTGTCTTCCTTAGTAAGTGAACAAGACAGTGGCTGCCTAGTTCTTATGCATGGTACAGTTTCTAGTTGCAAAAGCAAAGTGATTCTCTCACAAGTGAAACATTTAAAAAATATGTGTATACCTCTGTTACTTTATCCAAGAATGTTTTGTCTGCCAGGGGAGCATTGAGCAATTAAAATGGGCAGTTAAAAACATGAAATTGTCATGGGCTTGTAAGGTTTTGGTAATCAGAAAGTTATGTTTTACACATAATAAAGATGGGAGGTATGGGTCAGGGAAAGACAGGGATGAAACAGGGTTGATCTCTCTTATTTTTTTTTAAGAAAATTATTTATTTTAGGTGGGGAGGGAGGGGAGAGAGAGAGAGAGAGAGAGAGAGAGAGAGAGAGAGAAATTAATTTGAACCTGCAACCTTGACCTAGAAGATGATGCTCTAACCCACTGAGCTACCCAGCCAAGGCTCTCAATCTCTTTTTTTTTAAATCTTCTGTTATGACCTGCACTTTTACCTCTTGCCTCTTGGTTCTCTACTTTCCTTGCTGCTCACAGTGTCCTTCAATCCAAAGTCTCCTGTCCCACTTCAAAAATTTTCTCCCAGGAAGTAGCCTATTCTTTCTCTTTTTTATCAAAACAAAATTTATTACTTACAATCTATCACACTGCATTTAATTAACATTGATTACTAATGTGTAAATGGATTCAATCATCTGAATCACAGGAGTTACCTGGTTCTGGAATATAATTGACCAAGAGAATATAGTGGTTCTCTGATTTTTTTCTTCTAGGTGAGTTTCCTAGAAGTAGAACTTATAATGTTAACATTATTTAAGTACTATCCATCCCTTTCTGTCCCTCCCCTCTCCTTACTTCCTTTTACACATCTCTCTGGGCCTACAGGCATATGTTACTTGCCTTTCTAGGGAATCTTGGAGAAAGTACTTTTGGTTTTATTACTTGCCTCAGGAGCAGAGATTTGAAATAGACTTATGAAGCTACAAAGTTGTTTCTTTTCTTTTTTTTAAATGTCTTTTGGAAAAGAAACTCATGCTTCTAAACTTCCAGTGACCATGTCTTATCTATTCTCATTTTTTTCTGCCCTTAGCACCTGATGAAGATAAGCTATGATGTAGTTAAGCGCTGGGTCAATGAAGCCCAAGAAGCTGCTACAAGTGACAATATTATGGTCCAGGTATGGATATTGAATTATTTTAGCGTCTGTCTCAAGATCAGCTTTCTTTAACCTTGCATTGTAGGGGCAATTTATTGATTCCAAAAAATGAGTATTAGCTAAAGGCTAATATTAAGCAGCCTGTGAGTGCATATTCTCAAGTAGGTATCCCACTAATTATGATTACTACCATAGGCCCTGCTAGTGTTCAATTGAAGCTGTAAGAAGGTTAGAGAAAGCTTCTTATATTCAGTAGCAGTTTGAGAGGCTCATTCCAAAGGTCCTTCACAGTGCATTTCAATCCTTTATTTGAAAAATAAATTGTGAAGAAGGATGTTCAATTCCAGGCTTTTCAGGCCTTGATTATAGTAAACATTATAACAACAGTAAAGAGTAATTTTTACATTGTGAAACTTTAGTACCATTTTGTTGGAAATATCTCCTTTTGATATTCATTAGGCTGTTCCTAATTAAAAGGAACAAGGTTAAATCCTTAACTGGCAATTTTATGTAAAGTACCCCATTTGTGTTTGAGAGGGTACTTATTTATCCCCTTTCTGTGTTTATAACTTCTCATGTTAGCATACTCAGTTATGAGGAAACACAGTAGTTATTTTTCTCATGGGAAATATTCTCACTCTCCTAATTCCATTATTGTGCCTTTACACAAAGTGCCGTGATAATATTCGTGCACTCCTAAAGCCTTCTTCAGGAGATGTGATCCCTTAACTTCTGACATGGTCACAGGTGATTTAAAGCCACTCGAAGGCCTGCCACACTGGTGAAGCCATGGACCTGAGACCTTTGTACTAAGGATGAGTGGGGCAGGGCTGACCTGCCAGATGTACCCTCAGATTGTATGTTACCTTCTTAAGACTTCTCCAATCTAAATTTACACCTTCTGGGGATAAATTCGAAACTCGTATCCTTTCAGTCTTGCCTGTGTTTGATTCAAAGTGAAAAAGCTATACTATCTGTGTACTTTTGACCTGAGAATCTTTTTATTAAAAATCTAGTTCCATATGATTTCTACTTTCATGTAATTTTGTCTTCTTCCTACTCAGTTTTATGTATGTTACGTTCTTTTTCTTGTTCTTTAGTACCATGCATTGGGAGTCCTGTATCACCTTAAAAAGAATGATCGCCTTGCTGTCTCTAAGATGTTAAATAAGTTTACAAAATCCGGTCTCAAATCACAATTTGCTTACTGCATGCTGATCCGAATTGCCAGTCGCTTACTAAAAGAAAGTGAAGAGGGGTAAGTGTCTTCATCTAAACTTAAGTAATTTTTCCTTTGCTGGTAAATATGCCTCAGAATTTATTTCCTTAATGAATATTTTTTGGGCATTGCTGACTTTACAGATTATATATTTTCTGAATTAAAAAAAATCATGGAATTCCAAGTAACACAACTTCTGAAAAAAATTAATATATGCTCTGGTATATGTATTTAATAGATTATGATTATTAATAGTATAATAACAAATTGACCCTAAACAAAAAATCCTTAAATGTGGAAACTGGAAGTAACATTAAGAATCTTTTTTATCCCTTTTATTTTTATAAAAGAGACTATTGAAGTATTGTATTTCATTATTTATTTATTTAAATTATTTAAAGGGCAGGAGGGAGAAAAATAGGATTACATATGTAAGGTTCTTATATTGTTCATGAAGCAGTATTATATTATTTGATGGTAGTCTGTGGTAACATAAGGATAAATACTATGATCTCTTGAGTACCCACTAAAAACACCTGAAAGATATAATGTAAATGTTAACAGAGAAGATAAAATAGAATATCCAAAAATATTCAGTTGAGCTTCCTACAGTGGTGGAGTAGCTTGGTCATATTAGCCCTCTTGCAAATAATGATTATATAATCAGTATAAAACTATTACCCCCTCCCCCCCAAAACAAACAAACAAACAAACACACAAAAAAACAAGAAACCCCACAACTATTTGGAAGTTGGCCTGGTGATTCATGAAAAGGAGGCAAAAACTGGAGGGAAGTTGATGCCTGGACAACCGAAGCTATACTGGGTGAGATTTGGGTATTTCTGGGTAGTCTCCTAGGGCAGTTCCCAATTCTCAGGTGGGATCACAGGAAGGTATAGTATTTACTGGACAGAGGGGTCAGAACACAGTTTGAGATTAGAAGAGTGATGAAAACTTAGGGTGGAAAACCTGGAAAGGAGGGAACCACCAATGGGTGAGCCTCAAAATCAATTTTAATCTACAAAAATCCTTGGTTGGCCCATGAACTGTGCACATACAGGGGAAGACTCTAGGAAACCTGGCAAACTGTAGTAGCTCTGAGCTGAAAGAACTCAGTGGAGAATTCAGTTGCAGCTCACCATGGAGGAAATAAAGTTTGGAGTTTGAGCCAGGTTGACTGCCTGGTAGAGAAACATCATGCATTCTGGAGTCTTTACCTCATGTCATTCACAGTGTCTGTAGTCATGTACCACATAATGCTGTTTTGGTCAATGATGGACCAGATATGATGGATTATAATAAAGCTGAAAATTTCCTATTGCCTAGTGATGTCGTAGCTGTCATAATGTGATAGCACCACACATTACTGGCATGCTTGTGGTGATGCTGATGTAAACAAACCTACTACATTGCCAGTCATGTAAAAGTATAGCACATACAATTATGTACAATGCCTATTATTTGACAATGATATTAAACAACTATGTTACTGGTTCATGTATTTACTATACTTTTTGTTAGTTTTGGAGGCACTCTTTCTACTTATAAAATAAGTTTGCAGTAAAACAGTATGTTATGTTATGCAGCAGCAGCTCATTTTTATGGGCCTCTTGATTGTATTATTTTCTCTTGTGCTTGATTTAATTTGATCTTATTTTGTTCATCATGGCCGCTAAGCATACAGAATCCACTACTATTGGTGCCAGTAAGAGGTTATGTTGAGTGGTTGACCTAGAAATGACATTGAAAGTGATTGAGGATGTGGAGGTGGGAAGTCAGTGATGGTTATTGCTCATCCGTCAGGCATGTCCCATCTATATAATAAAAGCCCAGCAACCATTAAGGCGGAATGACCAGAATGACCGGTCGACCAGTTGCTATGATGCGCATTGACCACCAGGGGTCAGACGCTCAATGCAGAAGGAGGGGAGGGAGGTGCAACGAGGCCAGGAGGTGCACGCTATGGCCCAGAGATCCCAGGAACTGCAAGCCCAGAGCTTGCTTTCCAATAAAAAATATACAAACAAACAATCAAAAAAACGGCCCAATGCCGCCACCCTGGAAAGAATGGCTCCAGGAGGGAAAAGCTTCCCCAGACCCCACCTAGCCTAGCTGGTGCGTCGCGGGCTCACAAGGACTCACCTGTGACATGCAGGAAGAGCAGCCCCTCTGACTCCAAAGCTGGTCACACCAACAGCTGCTCCCTGCCCAGCTCCATGGTGAACTCAGCGCTGCTGGGCTGCCTCATCTCTGACTTCCAGCTTCTGGCTTCCTGCCTGCCCCTTTGTATACTACATGTGTTTGGAGGCGTGGCTTCAGCCTCCCCGGCCAATAGTGCCACAGCACAGCCAGAGAGTGGCAGGTCATGGCCAGCAGGGCTGGCTGGGCATTGATTTGGCCTCTGACTGACATCCATGTGCAGTTACACTGTGTTTATATTTGTAGGGAAGCAGGGCAGCCCACTTCTGCCACTCGCCTCACCTTCTAGGTTAAGAAAGGCTGGCTGATCTCCGTGTTTCTCCTCCTGTCCAGAATCAAAACCTCTTGGGGATGAATGATCCCAGCAATGGCCCCACCACACACTTGGTGTGACTGTCACAGACATTCCCAGTCATTACAGCCCATTCCTCAGCCCCCAGTGCCCTGCTCCACCCACTGCCACTCCTCACCTGTCACTTCCTGAAGACCACCTTATGTTATCCTATTTGAAATGTGAGCAAGATCTCAAATGCCCTCCTGTCAGTAGCTCCCTTGCCTTACCTTTCTTCCTCTAAAAACCTTGCATTTTAAAAATATATATTTGGTTGATTTCAGAGAGGGAAATAGAGATAGAAACATCAATGATGATAGAGAATCATTGATTGCCTGCCTCCTGCACGTTCCGAAGTGGGGATCGAAACCTCCCCCTGTCCCTCCCCCCATCCCTCCCCTGGCCAGCAGGCCCCCGGTGGCGCTGCGGCACCAAGGGAAGGAGGAGGGGGGAGGCTGGGAACCGCAGGGTGGTGGGGTGCCGAGGGCAGTGTCGGAGTCTGGTGTCTGTTTCTTCTGCGCCCTGCCCAGTAGTAGTCACCTCCTCTCCCGACCCCGCCGGGGCCTTTGGGCCCCGATCAGCCTGGCCCTGATCGCCTGCCAGGTCTAGGTATCCCACCCATGCATGAATTTCATGCACCAGGCCTCTAGTCCTATATAATAAAAGCCTAATATGCAAATCAACCCAACAGCGGAATGACCAGTGGTTGCTATGATGCACACTGACCACCAGGAGGCAGACACTCAATGCAGGAGCTGCCCCCAGCCTGCAGGCCTGAGGCCAGCCAAGGCGGTTGCCAATGGGGGCCCCCCAACTGCCCCACCAGTTGCCCCAAAGAGGGAGGTGACCGGCGGTGGGGGAGGGGCCGGCGAGGGGCCGGCTCCAGGCTGGCTAAGGCCGGTGCCAGTGGGGGCTCCACAGATCAGCCTTGATTGCCAGCCAGGTCTAGGGACCCTACCCATGCATGAATTTTGTACATCAGGCCTCCAGTTCCACTATAAGAAGAACAAGAACAGTGTCCTGGCTGGTTTGGCTCAGTGGATAGAGTGTCGGCATGCAGTCTGAGGGTCGTGGGTTCAATTCAAGTCAAGGGCACATACCTCAGTTGCAGACTCAATCCCTGGCCCCAGTCAGGGCAAGTGTGGAAGGCAACCAATTGATGTGTCTCACGTCGATGTTTATCTCTTTGTCTTTCCCTCTCCTTTCCACTCTCTGTAAAAATCAATGGAAAACTATCCTTGGGTGAGGATTAACAAAAAAAAACAAAAAACAAGAACAGTGACAGATGCTGTTAAATGATTTGCTTTATTAAGGCAATGAGAATAACAAAAAATGTCAGATGTGGAGAAACTTCTAATGACCTGGATTAAAAGCTAGACATAGAAGTGTACTCCTCTCAGCACCATGATAATCTGTGCCAAAGCAAAAAAAATCTGTGATGTTGAAAGAAAAGGCTGGACATGACTATCGCGTTGAATTTACCACTAGCTCTGGGTGGTTTAAACCAGTGGTTGCCAATCTTTCAGACCTCACGGACCACCAGTGGTCCTCAGACCACTGGTTGGTGACTGCTGGTTTAAATGATTAAGAATGGTTATTCATTCCATAATGTGAAAGTGAGTGGTGAGTCTGCAAGTGCTGATATGAAGGCAGCTGAAGAATTTTTGGAAATTCTAGATAAGCTGGTTGTGGAGGAAAGTGACTTTCCAGAGCAAATATTCAATATGGATGAAACCTCTCTGTTCTGGAAACGGATGCCTGAAAGGACTTTCATCCATAGGAGACCAAGTCAGTGCCAGGTTTCAAGGCTTTTAAGGACGGGATAACAGTCTTGCTCGGGGCAGTGTTGCAGGCTGCAGAGGGAAACCCTGGATGGTCTGGCACAGTGAGAACCCCAGTGCCCTCAAGCATATCAGTAAGCACACACTGCCAGCATACTACAGGGGCACTAAGAAGTCATAGATGACCCAGCTCTTCTTACAAGACATCCTCCTGAATTGCTGTGCCAGTGAAATGGAGAGGTACTGTTTAGAGAATAACATACCTTTCAAGATTTTGCTTATTGGACCTGGGATCCAAACCTTTTGGCTGTATTACATAGCATGCCAGCAGCAGGACTCTCCATGCGAGCTCCCATGGGTGGGGAGTACCAGTCCCTCTGCTGGCATGATGGGAAGGAGCTGAGTCCAAGCTTTGTGGTTGACTAGAATTGATTGCCTTATACCAAGCATGTCAAACTCAAAGGTAACACGGGCCAAATAACCAAGTTTTAAGTCTATGTGGGCCACAAAAAAACACACAAACAAAAGCTTCAATTTTCATAGAAATGTAGGTTTATTTCGATAGAGACATGCTGAATACAAAGGGCTGAAATAAATGAGTCATCGTTAACATAAAATAATAGAACATTTTAATAAAAATATTTTTTCTTGAACATTAACTTACCAGACACTGAATAACTGCACAAATTCATAAGCATAATACAAATAAACCTACTTTTCTTGTTCTC